TTTCAAACTAGCTATCTAATTTGAAAAAGTAAATTTTTTCGGCAACTTACCCCTATCATTTTGGGTGGTGATCTCATGGACGCTCTCTTAAAAACTGTAAATGGAATAATTAAAATTTCTTTTTCATCTGGTCTCATGGATAAATTTTGTATATTCACAGCTGTTGAACTTTGTTTTATTAAATATTGACATAAACATGAATATTGTAATGCACAATGATTTTTAGGTGTATATCTCATTTGAGATTGTTGACCTTCACCAGCAAACATCATAGCTACTTGACGATCAGTAGATGATGATAAAAATGCCCGATTTAATATATGTTGATTTAATTGATATTGATCTAAATCATTTTGTGTTATTTTCATACCACGATAACATATACCTTGATATTGATATTGAGGTAAATTTGGATGATAAATTAAGAGTGTAACAATATGTACAAGACAATTTACAAGACGATAATTTGATGAAAATGTTTTTGTTGTATCAAAATATTCTAATATATAGAGAGCTAAATTTTTATTTAATACTTTATAAAAAAAATCTGTTAATGTATAAGCTTTGATAAAATATGTTAAATAATCTTGTTTTTCTATAGCTTCTTTAAAGTATGCTTCAATAGTTTCAATTTGTTTACGAGTAATTTGATCTTCCGGATTATCAATATCATTACTTTGATTTACCAGATATTCATTTAAATAATAATGAATAACTTCAGCTAATAATTTTGATACTAAATGATGATTATCATAGGTTTTGTATAAATCAATAGCTTCACGAAATTCACGTCGTTTTCCAAGAAGATCATCGCCTACTATTGACCATTCAATATAATCATAATCATTATTTGAAAATAATTTTCGTTGTTCTAAAAGCAATTGTTTTATATCATCTGTTTGAGTTTCTTCATAAGGTGTTAAATTGTGTCGTAAATTTCTTATAGAATGTAGAGCTCCATATTCTAATAAAATTTGTACCATATCTCGATGTCCATAATAGCATGCTACATGTAAACATGTTGAACCACTTGAATTTTGAATTTTATTTATAATATTTATATTGCCAATAAATGGTAAAAGACTTCGAACTTTTTCTATTTCATTTTCTTTACACAAATTATACAATAAATCAATGATATCTGAATCATTGTCGTCATTAGTTGATGAGAATGGCAATAACATTATAATGAGAACGAAGGATAGAATTTCGAATAAATACGAATGTATTTTTACATGCTTTATGTGTTACTAATTATAAAGAAACTATAAGAAGAATGTTTTAAAATATCAACTTTTCTCTTGATATTTCTTTTTTTACAATAAAAAATTCACAATGGTGATAGAAATGCAGCGATACTTGCCAAAAGAATAAAACAATAACTTCGGCTTTACTTTCTTATTTAAGTTGTTTTTGCATTTATACAGAAGAGAACAATATTTACGTTTGAACTAGGGTTGCGAACTTTTTTGCTTTTTCCTGCTGTTCTCCTTTTCGTAATGTCTTATGAAGAAACTTTTCGATTAAACTAACTTTTTCTGTCACAAAAAATCACCGCGCAACAGTTCTAGATTGCTGATCGTGCCACTTATCTGACAATTTTACACTACAGAAAGATCTGTCAACTTAAGAAAAAGAAAGTTTTACAATAGAATTAGTTCTCTCTGAAAGGGACTTATATTGGAAGCTGTGAATAATACCGTATGGGACTCAATTCAAATCCTGTTCCACTCTATTTCTAGGGAAATTTTTATTTACGATATACCAAAATTAACTAGATTTCAAGCAAAAAGATACAGAAACGAGTTAAATCATGTGTTGTTCCACGATATAGTGAAGACCCTTAGTTCTTGTAATATATACGTAATAAAATTTTTGAAACGTTTTTTAAAGTGTATTTCTTAGAACTATCTTTGTCAGAGAAATCCTTTATTTTGGTTATCAAATGATACAACAATTCTTGTAATTGTAACCAGACAGACCTCAATAAATGGAAGAGATTTTTATTCTCGTATATCAGTCATAAGTAGAACAATATATGTTCAGAAACACTACAGAAAAATGAATGTTCAAAGATCGTTCTTTCACAGTTTTTACTTAAAGTAGTAATAACTGTGGAAGAACGATCTTTGAACATTTATCTGTTTGTAGTGTTTCTGAACTTATATCGTTGTACTTATGTCTCACATATGAGAAGAAAAATCTCTTCCATTTATTGAGATCTAGTTTGTCACAATCATGAGAATTGTTGCATCATTCCATAACTAAAATAAGGAAGTCCTCTGACAAAGATAGTTCTAAGAAATACTCCTCACAAAATATTTCAAAAATGCTATTACGTATATATAAGAAGGATTAAGGATCTCCACTATATCGTAGAACAACGCATAATTTAACTCGTTTCTGTATCTTTTTGCTCGAAATTTCATCAAGTCTTGTATATCTGAAGTAGTTTTTGAGATCAAAAATCATTATTTTTTAGTTCGACTTTCTCAAAAAATAGTTCTGTATCTGATAGGATTATGTGTTCTCACATTCTCTTAGTTCAACAAATTTTGTCTTAAGTTTTACTTATATATTCTAAACATGAAATTATATAACTAGACAATTTTGTAAAAATCTCGTCCTTCTCTCTCCAGGGTTGTCTTAATTCTCTCGATTTACTACTCTCGGAAAAAAAGCGATAATCCAGAAAACATTTTTCAAAGGCAGGTGTGAGTTGCCTAATGCGAGTTCGGATATAAATGGAGCTCGGGAAGCTGAATGCCACTTAGAAAACAAATGAAAAAAAAAACAAGCAGCCTTGCACTAGCCAAAAACCTAAAGATAAATTTTATCTCAATTATAATTTATGGTCCAGATAAAAATTTATCTTTGGTTGTTCTAACTTGATAGTCTTATCCAAATTATAATTTATGATTCA